GGGTCTCATTAGGCAGTAGGGAGTCATAGTGATTTTCCTGTCTCAGCCTCCCCAGCAGTGGGATTGCAGGTGTGCATCCATGTGCCCAGTTTCAGTGGCCAGCACTACATGCAATACCAGGCATCAGATTCAGGTCCTTGTGCGTTCCAGGCAGGCACTTAGACATCCAAGCTACCTCTCAACTCCAATTCTAAAATTTCTTAGAGAAATGATGTGTATCTTGCATGCTACATCCCTGAAACAGGGATGGGCAGGAACCATGGAGGGAAGTTCCTGGCACACTGGGCCCCTAGGGTCAGGTATTCATCCATCCTGAACGCCGCACCCAAGAGCCTTGGTCTCTGTGGATCTGTCCTCCTAAGATTAGAAGAAGAGTGTAATGTCTGGTCTAATGAGGACCTTTGGATGTTGAGTGCCAAAAGGATAAAGAGACTGTGGGAGTTAGTCAGTGAAAATGTCACATAGTTTCCCTGTTCCAGCCAGAGATAATCCTGTGTGACCAGCACACTCCTGACTCTGTAAGCCTGATTTTGCTGACTCCACATAATCTACCTTCATTATCCAGGTAAATTGTTCAGTGTCACTCATCTTGAAGCAAAAAGGATTATGTAATCCTTTGTCAATATTTTGGAACGGAGACTAGATGCTGTACATAATTTGGAGGAAAAAGAAGAGAAGACATGCATAAATAAGAATAGGAAAGAGCTCTCAGCTTGTGCCGTCACTTGTCTCTGCCTTGACACATTTTCATGTACTAGATGTGAAAAAAGATACTGTATGTTTTAAGTTTAAAAGCCACATTGCTACCATACCTCATTAGAATTCGTCCTCTCTCAAACACTCTTATTTCATCATTCTTGACACTTTTGAAGGAGTTCTAATTTCTTCCATCATAAATGTCTTTATGAGGTGTGATAGAAATCCTTTTGTACCAATATTGTCCAATAGGAAAATATTCTTATAAGAATATTATTTTCAGTTTTCTACCTGATTTATCAGAGCTGACACTGAGAAACACTTAGATTTCCCTCAAGGACAGAATAACCATGAAGGAGAAATCACCTCAGAACTTCCATGCATCCAAGACAGCATGAGGACATACATGCGTACACTGTTTTGGAAAAGGTGCAAGAAAGAGAAGTGTATTGAAAGCACAGGGGAGCATTCTGAGATGAATTCAAGGCAGACTACCTTTTACTTTAATGATTTTTTGAAAATGTAAACATTCACTGTATTTTTAAACAGTCATCTTACGTTTGCATTAATATTCTCCAAGTTGTTGTTCTGATGGTCCCATTCCTTGTTCAAGAATAAGGCCTGTCTTTTTAAAATTTCTTTTGTTTTAGAGAAGATAAAACATTAGAAACAATTAAAAAAATTTAAAGACCCAAGATGATAGCTATTTAACAGTGGATGCTATCTTGCACATTGCTTTCTTCAATGTAGTTGCTCTGTTTTCCAGATACAAGCATGTAACATAGGCCAAAATAAAAATATTAAGCACTAATTTCTTTCTTCAGAAAAAAAACAATAGAATTTTTAATTTTTTTTTATTTTATTGAGAGACAAATATCAATGAGATACTTTCCAAGTTGATTAATAGGACATTTTCAATAATTAATGCATTGCACATTGTTATCTTCTCAGTGGTCATCCACAGCACAAGAAGCAGCCAGGACATCCTGTCCAAACACTACTACTACAAATCCTTCCACTCACTGAACCAAGCAAAAGCAGCCGTACATCTATCCTGACTATTCTGTATATACAAATACAAAATGGTCCTTCCTTTGTATCCCCCCTCTCCAGTTCAGTCCTGTCAGAGATGGGTATTCTATTGGCATCTAAATATTATAGGTGTTTGAATTCAGCAAAACAATCCAACACAGTCCAG